GGATCGGAAACAGTAGGCAGGCGTAAAATGCGAAAAACATGGTTTTTCCCTATCTCGCTCTATGATTTTTGACCGGTTGAGCCGCCATTTTGAATGCTCATGTTGGCGCGTCGCGTGCGTAATAGAAACATTACAGTCAGCAATCTAGTTCTCCTATATCTATGGTCTTGAACCCAGCCGCGGCAGACAACATGTTTCCACTTGCGCTGTGTATGGAAATTTTGAAATACACACTGGAGAACTTTTTCAACTTATCATATTATGGAGTGAACAATAACACAACATAACTGCATTTAGGCGAACTGCATTCAAATCTTTATTTATTAGAAATGCATGTCCGCCACATGCAACGTCTTGCTCCTGAAAGCATGCAGGAATCTTGAATCATTTACTGTTTCAAGTTGCTGCATGCTAAAACAACGCTTCACGAAGTTGTCTCAAATTGGTTGGTTGCTAATCGATGAGGCGTACTCCAAATTTGATATTTCAACTAGCCACAAAGAAAAGAAATTGGACACTGTCAAATCTGAAAGCGAGGGGCAAGGCTTATCTCCGTGTTTACTCAACACTAGCTCGCCCAGGAAATAAACAGGCGGTGTCCAGCTTAATGCTATCAAATTAGTTCAATAGGCCGTTTTTGACAAATTTTCGACTCTTTTGAAAATGCTTACGCAAGTTTAAATGCTTGAAACTCAGTCAATATTTCGTGAAATCTCATATATGACCTATCAAATTAAAATTTAAGTAAACATCTTATAAATACAGCTACATTTATATGAACGACGTAACTCTTATAGTTTTTTCGATATTATAGTGCAAACGGCTGAACTTTTTCTGCCACTCGGTACATTTGTAAAACAGTAGCTGAAGGTCGTACATAGGAAGGAGCAAATGGAATGTATAATATTATACAGTATTCCACTATTTGAATATTGCGCAATGTTTTCAAACCTTTTCTCCTGGTTTCATATATATTTTGAAACCAGTGCAAGCAAGATCAATTGCAACTTTAGTGCTGCTATATTTTTTAAACTCATTTTCAACAGCGGTCGTAAAAACTGCTTTAAACATTGGATCAAATGTAGTTTTGGTGGCTTGCGAGGAATTATATTGAAGTAATTTTTTGATCATTTCCTCGGTCACTTCCTCGACCCACACAATTTTGCCGTCTTTTATTGTTTTTATCAGCAGTTCTATACCACGGGACTTCGCAGTCTTCTTCCATGCTTCCTTCACAGCATCGTCGGCAATCCCCATTGCCAAATTTTTTGCCAATTTTCTTCCCACTTCTTTTGTACCTTCCTTTGCTGCCCCTTTGGCTTGACTTTTTGCCAAAAGTATGGCAGCATTTTTTCCACCAGTTTTAGCTGCGTCTTTTGCATAAGTTGCCATGCCAAATAAATATGCATCTGCAGCGGTACATATGCCATTGATCAATGCTTCTCTGTTGTTGCCACGATAGACGGATATAGCTGTTTCACTTCCACCAATAACTATACCCAATCCTGGGACTAACACTGATGCTGTTGTTTTAACAACTGCATATCCTAGAGTCCAGTCCCAGTCTCTCCAACCCATAATTTATGATGCCTGAAATAAATATAAATGTGAAGATATTGAACAATTCTATACTTTGATATTATCAATGTTATGCGATGACTGTGCTCAAGATTATCATCTTGAAAGTAAAAGCTGAGTTTTGATGAAGTTATCATTATGGCCGATAACTATTGCGATATTGCTTCATAGGTGCATAGCTCTAAGCTGTACAAGGCTTAATGATATAAAATCCTGAAAAAATTTGTTAATTCATCCCTCAATTGGAAACTAAATATGGCTTCGTATGGTAAAATTCGAATGGGATGTAGGTAACAATTGCAAGTGAAGTTAATAATTGAAACAATCAATTTTCCCTCATGCTCATAACTTTATATGGTACCAGGGTTGCTAAACCAGAGCTGGTTATAAAACAGGGCCTGACTAACAACTGAGGAAGGATGCATCATTACTATGGACCCCAGACAAGCTCAAGAAACCAAGCTTGTCAATATGCAAAATAAAGTTGCCTATAAGGTCATAAAGACCCAATACTTTATTATTTTGTTTGATAATTGCAGAGGATTTCAAACAGAACCCTTTCCCCCAAACCCCCCAAGTAAATCCATCCCACTACCACACAAAATAATACTTCTTTTGAGTTAACAATGAAAGTATATTCTTTACAGAATCTGCGATATTGTTTACTACCTTGAAAATATGATTAGAATAAATGATGACAGATGTTTGTACATTGTGGAGTACATCCTATAAACTTTTTGTAATATTCACACAATAGATAAATTTGTATCATAATTAAATTTGTATCACAATCTGTAATTTAATAAATATTTATTTCATCTTGTTTCATTTCTTGTTTCCTTTAATAGCCTACAAGACAAGATCTTCTTAGAAAATCTGATATTTTTTGAAAACTTATTACATGAATGTATATACACAAGGCCGTCGGGGGTTAAATAAATATTGGCGGGGTGGGGGGGGGATCAAGAATAAACCTTTCACACTTTTCTATTTTTTTATGTGTGTTTGCTTATACAAATGGGGTAGGGGGTGGGCTCAAGCCCCCCTCCCTGGTCTTGATACATGATCTAATTGGTATTTGGCCAGGCCCCACCCTCCTATGTTTTTCCCCAATGAAATGAATAAGAACAGTATGCTGTAAGAGGTTCAAACATGGGGGATTTTCTGCAAAAGCTGGGCTTACCTGATAAGAGAGATATCACTATGTATAGCAGGCCTTTTTTAAGATACTTTCACACATGTTTCGCTCGCTACTCTGGTTTAAATTAATTATTACAAAGCCCAGTCGAATTGTAATCAAGACCCAACGTTTCGACACTCCATTACAATTCGACTGGGCTTTGTAATCATTTATTTAAACCAGGGTAGCGAGCGAAACATGATTGATATACCTGGTTGCAGTGAACGAACATACTTTCACTGTTTGAATTGCTCAAACCTGATGCTGAGTAAGTGCACAAGGGTTTGTTTTGAAAAACGCATTAATGAAATCAACTCAGTTGTCAGTATGGTGTTAAGCCTCAAAAACTGAAAGCAATAGACTCGGCAATAGACCCTTAAGGCAAGGGGTGCAAACACAATGGAATTACCTGTAGGTAGATTTGCAAGGGATGCAATTATGCAAAAAGAATGGTGACAACAATATATTCAAGACGGCATTCTTAACCTTTGATTGATTAATTAATGGAAATTAATTAAACAATATATTACCTGAGATTCGACAGGGATTATTTTGATTTGCGTAATTTATAATTTATTACACTTTGCCTCAACATGCAGGCTTGGAAACCGCAACAGCTACGGCCATTTACTGCGGATCCATTATGATACATCAAGTAATAATATCAACTAACAATAAATAGCGATTACAATTACCAACAAAACACACAAACATATACAGACATTAACAACATTAAAGCTACGTTTACACACCGCGATCCACCGCGCACGATTCACCCTCTGGCGTATGTCATATGATAAACACGCGTAAGCTGGCTATATTTGTAATTTATGAATTATGGCACCAGCACTCATTTTAATACGCCAAAATACAAACCGCACACGAAAAATCGCAAATTTAAGTAAACATCTTATAAATACAGCTACATTTATATGAACGACGTAACTCTTATAGTTTTTTCGATATTATAGTGCAAACGGCTGAACTTTTTCTGCCACTCGGTACATTTGTAAAACAGTAGCTGAAGGACGTACATAGGAAGGAGCAAATGGAATGTATAATATTATACAGTATTCCACTATTTGAATATTGCGCAATGTTTTCAAACCTTTTCTCCTGGTTTCATACATATTTTGAAACCAGTGCAAGCAAGATCAATTGCAACTTTAGTGCTGCTATATTTTTTAAACTCATTTTCAACAGCGGTCCTAAAAACTGCTTTAAACATTGGATCAAATGTAGTTTTGGCGGCTTGCGAGGAATGATATTGAAGAAATTTTTTGATCATTTCCTCTGTCACTTCCTCGACCCACACAATTTTGCCGTCTTTTATTGTTTTTATCAGCAGTTCTATACCACGGGACTTCGCAGTCTTCTTCCATGCTTCCTTCAC